AAAAAAAAAAAAAAAAAAAAAAAAAAAAAAAAAAAAAAAAAAAAACGCATGTGGAAAAAACAATAAAAATCCATACATTAAAAGGAAGTGTAAAAATGTTACGTTAGCAATGTAAGGCTTTTTTTTTTTTTTTTTTTTTCAATTTTTAAATTCCCATTAGGACTACTTGTGTTTCTCAGACATGGGCACAAACTTTGGTAATCCTGGTGAGAAGTGTGCAGAGGGAAGGAAAAGAGAGCAGAGGCCTGAGTGTTTATGGGGAGATGCTGGTAGGTGGCAAGCAGATGAAACACAAACGGGGTTTGGGCTGCAGGGTTTCTAATTTCTTTGGAGTTAAAAAACAAGCTGGCTGGCAGGAAGAAGCGAACAGCTTTCAGTCTAACTTTGGCCCTGTGCGAGCAGATAGCCAATGAAACACAGACTGTAAGAAAGCATCTGTCTGGGGTGTGGCTCACTTGGTAGAGTGCTTGCCTACGTACGCGAAGTCCTGGACCAGTCCCTAACGCCAGGTCTGATAGCACATGCTTATAACCCAGCACTCTGAAGGTGGAGGCCTCAGCTATGCGGAAAGTTAAGGACAGCCTGGGGTAAACGAGATCTTGTCTGAAAATAAAAGGAAGGAAGGAAGGAAAGGTGTTGCCAGGTACTGGTGGCATACGCCTTTAACCCCAGCCACTTGGGAGGCAGAAGCAGGCAGATGTCCAAGTTCAAGGCCAGCCTGGTCTACGGAGTGAGTTCCAAGAAAGCCAGGGCTACATAGAAAAGCCTTGTCTTGAAAATAAATAAATAAATAAATAAATAAATCAGTTTCTCTTCATAATCAGGCTTGCATCCCCTTATAACAATTTGATAGGTTCATCTTTGAACAATTATGTGTTCTATCTTTCTCTTTCACAAAAGAGAAAGAGCACTCTCTCTTAGTTCTACTAAGACTATCAGCTCTTCTTGCCAACCCTCACCCTAGGCTTTAAACATCACTGGCTAAGCTGGGCGTAGTTGTGTGTGCCTTAAGCCCAGCACTCTGGCAGAGGAGGAACACAGGCAGACAGATCTCTATGTGTCTGAGCTCCAGGCCAGCCTGGTTTACAAAGCAAATTCTGGGACAGCCTGGGCTGTTACACAGAGAAACTATCTATAAAAAAAAAAAAAAAAAAAAAAAAAAAAAAAAAAAAAAAAAAAAAAAACAAAAAAAAAAAAAAAAAAAAAAAAAAAAAAAAAAAAAAAAAAAAAAAACAAAAAAAAAAAAAAAAAAAAAAAAAAAAAAAAAAAAAAAAAAAAAAAACAAAAAAAAAAAAAAAAAAAAAAAAAAAAAAAAAAAAAAAAAA